AGAGAGAGAGAGAGAGAGAGAGAGAGAGAGAGAGAGAGAGAGAGAGAGAGAGAGAGAGAGAGAGAGAGTTTGCGGTTCTTTGACAGGACAAATCTGCATTGAGGAACACATCTGCTCTTGTTGTTTGGCATATTAGAGGTGTGAACACTGTGAAGCTGTTTCTTTTTTTTTTTTTTTTTTTTTTGGTGGCAAAATGGTGCCAGGAACAGATACTGTTTCACCTTTGGATCACTGCTGATCTCGGTGGAACCGCGGAACAGGTGCTGTTATGACGACAATATGCAAATAAATTGAAATAATACAGCACACATCTGCACTTGCGACGCGCATTTGCTGTTTGCTTACTGGTGCTGACATGAATCTGCACAAGTAGTTGCACACACATCTGAAATTCTGAATCAATTTTAGACCTGCTCAGATTGGTTTCCTTTTTTTTTTTTTTTTTTTTTTTTGAGACCTGCTCAGATTGGTGTCCTTCATGTGTTTGCTATAGTAGAGGTGTGTGAAGCTCTTTTCAATTTTGGATCACTGCTCATCTGGGTGGAAAAGGCCCAAAAGGGGTTGTTGTGGTGACAGTTTCACAGCTGCACACGCATTTGAACTCCGAGTCGCATCTGCAGTTGTGCATCTGGACACAAATATGCCCATGGATGCAGAGGACATGGCGGTGACGTCCTGGTGGTGCGTTGCAAAGATGGGCAATATTTCTGTGGATGATACAGACTTTCACTGTCGTGGGTGATTGCGAACATGGAAATAAATTTCTCACATCAGCTTGCTGATGGATTCTGAATTTCTGAGTAATGCCGATTGAAATCATTGAATCTTTTTTTTTTCTTCTTTTTGTTTTGGAGTAATGCCGATTGAATCGAAGTAAAATAAGAAACTAGAAGAATCAATCAGCATTTTTCCATGGGTGCCTTGTTTTGGAGTAATGCCTATTGATTCTTCTGGTTGCTATGATGCTCAGCAAAATGGATTTGGCACTTGGACAAGGCACCCATGGAACGGAGCAGTCGTGGCCCGGATGACGCTGCAGGTGCAAATATGTATTTTCAAGTTTAGGTGAACGAATCTGTGTCGCTGGAAAAAAGAACAAAATAAGAAACTGCACACAGCGATCGTCATCATGGGATCGCATGACTGCAAAAGCTCGTCATGGAACAAAAGAGTGGGGGCTCCTGCTGCCAAAAAAAAAAAAGAAAAAAAAAAGAGGAAAAAAATTAAAAAAAAATTAAAAAAGAAAAAAAAAAGAAGAAAGAAAGAGGTTTGGCAAGTCATGGGCTGGGCAAAAGAGGGGGGTTGGCAGAACAAGTTCGGCGCCGATGGTTTTTTTTCTCTTTTTTGAATTTTTTCTGTTTTTTTGAATTTTTTTCTCTTTCCTTTTAACCACCAGTACGTTTCCCGCCCATTTTTTCAAAGTTGCGGCTTGGATGCTGTGGCAACCGTTGGGGCTCGGCCGCAGGAGCATAATGGCTGGCAGCACCAGACGAAGGAGGCCGGCGCCACATTTCCAGCCCCGTAGAAAAGTGTGCCTCAAAAGTTCAAAAGCACTGGTGGTTTGAGATGGGGGAATTTGGGGATGTATCTGGGATCGTTTGGCACCCCGGGAAACACTTTTTTTTTTCTTCCTTTATTTTTTT